CGTGCGCGCGGTGGACATGGAAGGGGACTGCTTGGCCTTCCTGGGCGACGCGTGCTTCGTGGGCGCCGCGGCCGCCGTGTTCCGTGGCTTGGATGCGTGGCGTGCCCGCGTCGAAGCCCACGGGATGAAGCTCAAGATGTCCAAGACCCAGATATGGTCCCCCGACGCCCAAGCTGTCTTGCCGCCCGAGTTTGCAGAGTGCGCCCAGTACCGCGTCCAGAAGCTCAAGGCGGTGGGGTCCACCCTGGCCTGCGCGAACCACGACGTGGACACCGACTGGAGGGGCGTCCCACTCGCGGACTTCGCCGCCCCAGAGGACCTCGATGAGGGAGGGCGCGGGCAGGCTGGCGGCGCCGCGGCCGCCCCGAGCGCCGCCGCGCCACCCCCTTGCGGCGAAGCCTTCCTCCAGAAGCAGGACCGCTACTTCAAGGAGCTGCTGACGCTACGCAGGCATGGGCTCTCTGCCTTCGACGCATTCCAGTTGATGCGGATCTGGTCGAGGGGCGCCTGCGTCCACATCCAGCGGGCGCTCCCGCTCACGGCGGCGTGGAGCCGCAGGGTGGATGACGGAGTGGTCGCCTTCGTCAACGCCCTGCTCGGGGTCACGGCGGCCCCCAGAGAGCAGATCTTCATGAAGGTCAGCGACGGAGGCCTGGGCTGTGGCAGCGCTGAGCAGCGCGGCCCAGCCGCCCTCCTGGCATCCTGGGAAGCTGGGATTCACGCGGCAGCCCAGGAACTCCGAGAATCGACAACGATCGGCCTCTTTCGGAGGTGGCCAGGCCTTGGCCGAGCCCTCTCAGCAGCAGACGAGGAGCAGGGGCGGCTGGCTGGCGGCCGTCGCCCTCAGAGCGACCGCTGGCAGGGCCTTCTGGAGGGGCGGAAGGGAAAGGACCAGAAGACGTGCACCCAGCACGTGCGGGACCACGTCACCAAGACGTTCACGGCCGCGCTGCCAGTGACGGCAGCGGCGGCGGTGCACAGTGCCTCGGGCAGCTCAGCGGGCGCCTGGTTGGATAATTTCGAGGGGGTCTCGCCCCCCGCCGACCGCGCGTTCTGCATTGCTGCCGAGAGGCGCATGCACCTGCCGCTGCTGCAGTCCGAGTGCACGTGCCTGAACCGACCATCAGCGCCCGCCCGCGCGATGGCGCAGCACGGCCCGACGTGCGGCCGCGCGGTGGACGTTTGGGGCGCTCATGCGCTCAACTGTCCCAGGGGAGGCGGCCCGACGCGCCGCCACAATGCCATTCGAGACGCCGTGGCGCTCTGGCTGCGCGGGGTGGGCCATCATGCCCTGCTGGAGCAGGTCATCCCAGAGTGGTACACGGAGGAGCAAGGCGCGGCCACATTGGACGTGGTCTACCATCGAGGCATCCATGGTCGAGTTTGCCTCGACATCAGCTTGGTGGACGAGGTGGCAGTGGCTCAGACGGGGCGGCCGCGCCAGGCAGCCCTGCAGCGCAGAGAGAAAGTGAAGCACCGTAGGTACCCATTTTCGGGCCTGGTGCCATTTGTCCTAGATGTCAGCGGCAGCTGGGGCGCAGAGGCGGAGACGTGGCTGCGCCGTGCCGTAGGGGAATTGGCTGAAGCCGAACGGCCCGCGGCTCGTGCAGCCCTGCGATCGGCAGTGGCCAACGCCCTGCAGGGCCAAATTGCGGAGCAGGTCGCCCTGGCGACGGAGGAAGCAGCGAGACTGGATGCAGGGGCCGCCCCGAGCGTCCAGTCTTGACAAGCTGTGGCCCCGCCCCACTTGCGTGTGAGTACTGACCCTCCTCTCCCTTCTCCCTTTCCCGCAGCCCTGAGTGGTCATAAAAAATTAGCCACATCTGCAGTGTGCAAGGTTTCGCTCAGTCTCCTGGTCGCGCACACAGCGCGCTACTGTAGTGTCATGTTTGGTCTGCGCGCCATGGTGTGTTGCCTCCTCGCTTTGTGCATGTTGTGGCCTCGGCATGCCACATCTTTGATGCTCGTCATCTCTGGCATGAGGTGGTCCCGCAGCCCATCTGGGATGAGCCTTCATGCAACCAATAGCACCTGTCCAAGGCCGCTGGCTAAAGAGGCGTCAAGAGGCGTTGAAGATCGGGGCCTCCCCGCGGGTCCTGGGGCCGTCGGCGGCCCGCCGCCCGCTTTGTCGCCCGCCCGCGACGTGGTTTCCTCGCCCCCCTCCCCCCGATCCTGCCCGTCCAGGGCCCCGAACGGGGGTCAGGCCGTTTCCCGCCAGCATAATGAACGGGTCCAACGCACCTGGAACCGTTGGCTTCAGCCCATAGTCTTCCTGTGTCACCTTTGTCCCGCCCTGGCAGTTGGCCGCCCCATTTTGGTTCGGTGTGCAGCCTCCCCCCCTCCCCTCTGCCCCCCGTCAGCTGTTTGGCTCGTGAGTAACTGCCTTGTGCATTCTCTCGAGCTGCGCCTCTCGTGCCATCCACCCGACCAAGTGATGGCGCCCAAGTTCTCGAAGCCTGTGCCGATGCCGTGGCCCGCAAAGACGCGCGCCGCGGGGGGGGCGCCGACCTCCGAAGCAAGACCGATGCAGCGCCCTGTCCAGCAGGTAAGCTTGTCGGAGAGCGAAGGCGAGGAGTACGACATGGTGTCCGAGGCGGCGACCTTTCGGACGGCACCGACGGTGCGCGCGGGATCAGCTACCCCCGCTGAGGACGCCGATGGAGGCGGCGGTACGGGGGCCGCCCCCAGTGCCGCCGCCTCCGATGGCGCCTCGGCGATGCCTGCGTCGGCGGTGGTGCCAGTCACATCAGCCGCCCTGGCGGCGGCGGCCACGTGTGCCGACTTCACCGCAGAGCAGCGGCGCGGGCTGGACGCGCTCACCCTCGCGCTCCACAACCTTCA